TCTTCTGCTGAATCAGCCCCACTCAGGAGCTCCGTGCCCGATTGGCAAAGAACGGGGGTTTGATGCCCCTGCTGGCTGGACAGGGAGTGCTGGGAGACCTCTGACAGTGGTCCACATTTCTCCTCCAGGTACTCCATTGGGAAAGACGTGGCCAAGTGGCTGACCATTAACCAGGACACTGGTGTCATACGGACACAAGCCGCTCTGGACAGGGAGTCACTGTATGTGAAGAACAACACGTATGAGGCCCTCATCTACGCAACTGACAGCGGTAAGTGGACTGGGCTGGCTTTCCCCTTGGCCTCTGCGCCTGCCCAGGAAGAGGAGGAGGGGGCTAGGGGGGCACTTGGGTGGCTCCTGGGGCCGAGGACTCTGCTGGACTGAGCTGGGGTCCAAACACATCAGGGCCGGGGCAGGGGGATGAATTACTGGGCACTGCCCACACTGCACCAAGGCAACTGAGCCCTTCCAACAGATTTTACTGGGGGGGGGGCAACTTGTGTGTTTGTGAGTGGGGGAGAACCTGTTGAATAGAAATGTGGTACGTGCTTGTTTTGCTAAACTGCCTTGCCCTTTCTGTTCAGGGGCACCAGCGGCCACTGGCACAGGAACCTTGCTTTTGTATCTCACTGATGTGAATGACAATGCGCCTGAGCCGGACCCACGGCACTTCGAAATCTGCAACCGAAACCCAGTGGCCCAACGGCTGAACATTGTGGACAAGGATCTTCCTCCACACTCCTTCTCAGCAGGCCTGACGTTAGGTGCAAGGGCCAACTGGTCAGTCCAGATGGACCAGGGTAAGCTAATGTGCCTCCCGTATTCTGTGCAGCACTGGGGGGAAACAATGGGAGGGCTCCTGGTGTCCTGGCCCCACTGCTGGACCTCCTGATGGCACCTGGTATTTCTGGCCACTGTGTGACACAGAGTGTTGGACTGGATGGGCCATTGGTCCGATCCAACATTGGCTTATCTTATGTTCTTATGGGTTATCCTGTCCGGGAGGCAGACATGGAATAGTTGCCCATTCCTTTCCGTCTAGCCTTAAAGGCCCCATTCTTGCCAATGGGAGCTATGGCTGACCTGGAATCTGCCCTCTAAGAGGGGCATTTCTTTGCATTCTGTCCTGGGACACACCCCCCACCCCCCGCAGTGGTACAGTCCAAAAGACAGGTTGTTCAGTTCTGCGGCTGCTTGCAAGAGCACGACAAACTGATATTGCTCAGACGTGTGTGTGTGTGTTCAGTTCCAGTGCCTGCCTTGCTTTCTGAGCTCAGACAACTTATACAAGTGTTCATATTGAAGCTCTTTTAGAAAAAAGGAAGACTTTAGATTTGAAAGGTTCAGGTGGGCAGCCGTGTTGGTCTGAAGCAAGAGAGCAAAGTCGGAGTCCACTGGCAGCTTTGAGACAAACAAAGTTTTATTCTGGGTACAAGCTTTTGTGTGTGGGCAAAATAAAACTTTGTTGGTCTTAAAGGTGCCACTGGACTCCAACTTTGTTTAGATTTGAAGGTAAAAGGTAAAGGTTTCCCTTGCTTGAAAGCCAGTCGAATCCGACTCTAGGGGGCAATGCTCATCTCCGTTTCCAAGCCGAAGAGCCAGCGCTGTCCGGAGACGTTTCCGTGGTCATGTGGCTGGCATGACTAAATGCCGAGGCGCATGGAACGCTGTTACCTTCCCACCGAAGCGGTACCTATTTATCTACTTGCAATTTCTTGCTTTCGAACGGCTAGGTTGGCAGGAGCTGGGGCCAGAGATGGGAGCTCACTCCGTCACGTGGCACTCGGGTCTCGGACTGCCGAACTATCGACCTTCCGGCCTGCAGTTCAATTTGTGTCTGACAAAGGGAGCTTTGGCTCCCGCAAGCTCCTGCCCCCAAAATCTCGCTGGCCTCTTTTTTCTTTTTTTTAAAATATTTTTATTGGGTTTTCACAATAATGCACATTATCAATAGTAGTTTACCCTTGCTCAATCCATCCCATTAACACCTTATACAACATATAAACAGTACTCAACAGCAACAGTTTCCAAAATTATAATTACTCTCATTTTTCAACCTCTCATCAAATTCACCCCCTCCAATAGTGATTACATACATCCATTAATACTTTAAATCTATGATCTTTATAAATATTGAACTGACCGTCCCTCCTTATCAACCTTGCTCTCTCAACAGACAATACTGAAAGTGTATGTTACAGTACTTCTACAGTTTTTAACTTTTCGTCTTATTTTAATTTAACTCCTGGACTGGAGTCAAGCTGCTGTCCTATCGCAGACCAGCACGGCTCCCCGCTGAAACAATCTCAAATTTCCTTTTCCTTTTCCTTGAAAGCGTTTATTAACATGACGGCAACATGCGTCTCTGTATGAAGTTTTGCACCACTGGTTTCAGAAGAGTGTTAACGTGCGTGCGCTTTTTGAACGGTCCTTTCTTCCCCTTCCCGCCATCTTCTCCTGTAGGTGGCGACAGCCTGACCCTGCGGCTGACGAAGGTGCTGGACCCCGGGGAATACAGCATCCCTCTGGAGCTGAGTGACGGCCAGGGGCAGACACAGACCACGACGGTCAAAGCCCAGGTGTGCGACTGTGAAGGGGAAGCCAAGAACTGTGAGAAGAGGGGGTACATCGCGGGCGGCTTGGAGGTCCCCGCAATCCTGGGGATCCTTGGCGGGATCCTGGCCTTGCTGAGTGAGTACCACGCCCGGGCGTCTCTGCATCCGCGTTTCCTTCCACGTGCCTGTCCCAGGCTCGCCGTTGCAGCCAGGGGGGCGAGAGGCTCGAGTCCCGTGCTCACAGCCAGGGCTCTTAGCCGATCTTCCACTGGCCAGCCACAGGGAGAGGCAGGCGTGCCCATTGTAGGGGGTGTGGGGGGGGCACAGCCGGCCTGCTTTGGGTCAGTCCATATGTGCGGCAGTTGTGGAAGCATGGAACAGAGCTTTGTGACTGCCATGATCCAAGGAGGTCACCCCCACCCACGTGGTGGCTCTGGCCACCAGCCCAAGTGCGGTGCTGCTCGTTGGGGTGTGGGGGTGCAGGCGACACAAAGACGACAGGAGACAAGCTTGCAGGAACTGTCAGGAACTGACTGAAACCTCTCGGCTTCAAGCTTTTATTGAGAGGCTCGAGTCCCGTGCTCGCAGCCAGGGCTCTTAGCCGATCTTCCACTTGCCAGCCACAGGGAGAGGCAGGCGAGCCCGTTGTAGGGGGTGGGGTGGGGCACAGTCTGCCTGCTTTGGGTCAGTCCGTATGTGCGGCAGTTGTGGAAGCATGGAACAGAGCTTTGTGATTGCCATGATCCAAGGAGGCCACCCCCACCCACGTGGCGGCTCTGGTCTCCAGCCCAAGGGCTACCGGCGGTTCTCCCACCGAGGCCTGTGAGAAGGGCCGACATTCCACTGGCCATTTCTTTGCACCATGAAGTGGGCTTCCTGAGAATGTGAGGGAGACCCTGATCCTGTGAAGCCCACGTGACAGCAGCAGTTTGCTCCTCTTTATCGATACCCTTCTGCGTGTGCTCTATGGCCAGTATCTTCAAACTGACGTGAGCCACCGTGGGTGCCACTGATAGGGAGGAAAGCAGGCTGCTTGGCCGAGAGGAGCTTTAGTTCTCTGCTGGAGGTCCGGCGCGTGTCGCTGTCGCTCTTGGGGCCTCTCTCACCCCCCCGCTTCTTTTTGGGTCCGCAGTCCTCCTCCTGCTGCTGCTGCTGTTTGTGCGGAAGAGGAAGGTGTCGAAGGAGCCGCCGCTGCTCCCGGAGGACGACACTCGGGACAACGTCTATTACTACGATGAAGAAGGCGGTGGGGAGGAGGACCAGGTGAGTCTCGAGCGGCTCACCCTCTGAGGATGGGGCGACCTCTCCCCTTCCCTCTCGAAGCCTTGGGTGCCCTTTCCCCAAGCGGAGGCACACCTCCCTTGGCCTCTTTGCTTTCGTCAGCGCTGTCTTCCCTCCGGACTGGCCCTGCTGTGGCAAGCGGGCAGTCCTCCTTGAGGCCTTTTGGATCTCTAGCACACTCGGACCTAGGACATAAAATAACTCAGTACGACTAACAGTGAAATGTTTTTGAACCGTGGCTAAGGCATGGGATCCCAAGGCCTGGGCCCTGCAGGGATGCCCATTCTTCCCTGGAAACTGTCATTGTTTCCTGCCCGTTTCTCTCCACACCCCCTCCCCCTCTGTGGCCCTGTCAGTGGTGGGTCTTCCACTCTCCAAATCTCTGTGTGTGGAAACCAAGCTGAGCAACAGCCCCGTCCCTCTTGGACTCTCCACAGGACTACGACATGAGCCAGCTGCACCGCGGCCTGGATGCCCGCCCTGAGGTCACCCGCAACGACGTCGTCCCAACACTCATGCCGGCGCCGCAGTACCGCCCACGCCCGGCCAACCCGGATGAGATCGGCAATTTCATCGATGAGGTGAGTGGCATGGATAGCTGTGAGCCCAACCCCTTGTAACAGGAACGACTCTTCTCAAGGCTTCCTGAGGTCTGTTCTCAACTGGCTATACGAGGGGCCATCTTTCTCTTTTTCTGAGCAGTTAGGGGCTTTCTTTATCAGTGTTTCTGTTTGCCAGGTTTGTTGGGGAGCAACATTCCAGAGACCTTGGTTCTGCTGGGGCCTGCAGGGTTGGGGGAGTCATGCGACTTCCTTTTGTAAGGTGTTTGGGGCCCCCAGAGGGAATCAGTCTGAGCACCCGTAGTAGCAGACAGCAGGGCTGCCCCCAAGCCAGTGGCAGGGAAGGAGGGATGGCAAGAGGGGAGTCTGGAAGTTCCAGAAGTTCCAGTTACCCCGGAGCAGCCCCGGGACTGCTCCTGCAGCATTCTTCCGACGGTCTGTCATGGGATTGGAGCGGAACTGGAATTGGAAACTGCATCGCGATGGTTTCTGCCTGGAATTCTCCTTTCCGGGGCAAAGGTGGTCACTCTGCTCCCGCATTGTGTCAACTGAGTCGATGTTCCTTCTCCCTTCCGCAGAACCTGAAGGCGGCAGACACGGACCCCACCGCACCCCCCTACGACTCCCTGCTGGTGTTTGACTACGAGGGCAGCGGCTCCGAGGCCGCCTCCCTCAGTTCCATCAACTCCTCCACCGGAGACCAGGACCAAGACTACGACTATCTCAACGACTGGGGCAACCGCTTCCGAAAGCTAGCGGACATGTACGGAGGGGGCGAAGAGGAGGACTAGGCACGGTGCGAATTGAGACAGAGCTCGGTGTGCATCCGTTGGGGGGAAAGAGAAAGCTGCCAGATGTGTGGACAGAGACCCGGACGTCCCCCCCTTTCCAACAGCTGATTGATAATCAAACATCTGCTCATTCCATCAGTTGCCAAAACACTGCAAACCTGCCTGCCTTGCCATGCTGGTCCCCCTTGGGGTGGATTCAGACAACTGCATTTTTTGGGAATTTTTAACCAGCACGTGGCAGTCATGTTCTTTTGAAAATTCTAACTTGTGTTGTCTTGTTGCCGCAGCCTCTTCCATTCTGCTAAGTGCTGGCTCTATCAGTGCGAAAAGGGCTCCCATGGGGCGAGATTACGGGCACGTCGTGCACTGTCAAGCAGTTGTCTGATTCCATTCTTGTTTGCCAAAGAAAAAGATTTCCTAAACATTTTAAGGTCCTCAGTCGTCTCGATCAATGCAGGACACCTCCCGGCAGTCTGCCCTCAGACATTTATCCCACAGTCTTCCCACCTGGAGCTGCATCACGCCCTGTCTCCTGGGCTCTTCGTCAGTTCTTTCCTTTAGTCTTGGATCCCAATCCAACCTCCCCTTACTTGTTTGTATCCCACGGCTGCCACAGCTCCTCCAGAAAGGCAGCCCGAACACTTGCAAAAATAAATATTTGACGAGAATAAAGCATGTAAAGAAAGAAAGACTGGAGAAGAAACAACCGGTCTGTGGGTTGCTGGAATCTTAACAGTTCTGGTGATGAGAGGATGCTGTTGTCTAATGCATAAACCCGATAGTTGTGGGTGGCTAGAGAGGTCGCGTTCTGCCAATATGGCTTCAAGCCCATCCAATGACTGGGATTCCCATCTGGGAGAAATGCTGTTGTGGTGAACCCTTTGGGGTGCCACCTCATGCCAATCCACTTTAGCACTCTGCCCACAAAGCAGCTTCCCAAGACAACGGTCGATCCTTTATGTGCTCGGCAATCCTGCACAGCTATCAGATGTGGTACCAAGTGCAGGATTGTAGCTGGCATCCTGAGGGCCTGTGTTCAGCTTTAAAATGCAACACACAAACCTTTCCCCTTCCCAAGATAAAGCAACACTTGCTGTCCTCTTAAAAAGGTGTGGGGATGATATTCTCTTGCTCTGTGCAGCTCTTTGTCATGACCAATAGAAGCACAACAGGCTGTGGAGAGACTTATTTGTATGAGATGCCTAAAATGTGTATCTTGCAGAAATAATAATTTCTTGATGTAGAATTGGGGTGTGTGTACATAACAGGAAAGACCGATCTGGCCACTGCAGTCCCCTAAAAGAGCAAGGTTTTAGAGGAAGCGGCTGGCAGGGAATGTCTGAGGAAGAATTAGCCAATCATGTCCTTCCTGAGGAGCAAGCTCAGTGCCTTTGGGGGTTCCAGATTCACCCAGTCGCAAGGGCTTGAATGGGTAACGTCTACAGTGCAACTGACTTAAGGTGCCGTATTTCTTATGATGCATTTTCTGCCAAGTAATCTGATTGTAATGATATGATTGCTGTCCATGTGATGGATAAAGTTTCTTTTTTGCAAAAATAAGTGGCTTTGCTGGGTTTTGATCCATGTATTTCACTGTTTTTATATGCACAAAAATTCAAAAGCCATACTGTGTAATGCCTTGTTAAGCTGATGTGTTTTATAGTATTTTAATAAAGTGTTTCTTTTTAAAAAGTGCCTTTCCCCATTCTTTTATGGGTGAATCTCTGCACTAACGGTTGCCTCTGCCAGGTGTCTCCTGATCTGATACAAAGGGTATGTGACCCCAGTCGATTTATTTATTGTCTACCTAATCGGGCAGAATTTGTCATTCTGATTTAATTCCACCCCCCCTTCTTCTCTGTGGTGTTTGTTTTCTCCCTCATTGAAAGGGGGAGGGAGCCAGCACGTAACAAAACAAGGCTCAGGTTTGGGCAAGAACATGACTGTGCAAGTCCTGGACCAGGTTGGAGCAAAACTATTGCTAGGTGAGGACTGCTAAGCAACTAACAAAAATGATGCACTTGCACCAAGGGGAGCCAGGGCCAATTATGATTTTAAGAACTTGCATAATTACACCTCACACTGCAATTCTTCTCATGGCCATTTGACCCTGCTCTCTCTGTAGAGTCTCCCTCGTGTAAGATCCACTCTTTTATATCTGAAGGAGGCTCTAGTCCACAATTGTGCCTGCTGGAATAAGGGCCCTCTAGACACCTGTTTGTTTTTGCTGCATCAAACCTACCGCAGCTTCCCCTCTAGAACAGAAAATGTTTGGATCTACGTGGCATGGGGTCTCTGCACGAAGACTATGGTAAACATGCTGTCAGTTTGCCTACTCTGGGGGCAGCTGGAAGGTTTTGCATCTGGAAAACGAAGGGAAGTTTAAAACCCTTTCCTGTGAAAAGGCCTGCAAATATTCTCTCACACCCCTGCCTCCCATCCATCATACACACATTGGATTTTTTTCATTTACAGAATTTCATGTTCTAAAGCAACCAGTACTGGTGACTTACAGTTGTGTGACATACTACTCTATTTTGTTTTATAGCAACTTGATTTTTGTAGCAACAGGCAATTGTTTGGGTAATTGGGAATGTATACCTTGAACCCAGAGGAAAAGTGGGATATGAACATTTTAATAAATGCTTTGCGAGTAAAGGTACTAGCACACACACAAAATAAAACGGACTAGTTTTGCAAGACGGTAAGACAAATGAATGGGAGGCAGCTCTAGCAGTACCTGCTAGCCATGTTAATCAAAAGTCTTTCTGTTGATTTTTTAATGTGGTTTGAATGTATGATTTTATGCTAGTATTTTACAAACAAACTCTACACTTTTGGGAAAAGCAGGACGTACATTATTTAAATAAATAAATCACTATTTTCAAGCACATCTTATCCTGCTTTTCTGCCAAGGTTACAGCAGTGCACGAGGTTCTTCCCTCCTTCATTTCTATCTTCAGGACAGCCCTGCAAGGTAGGCTAGGCAAAGAGAGTATGACTAGTTCAAGGTCACCCAGCAAGCTTCCATGGCAGAGTGGGGATTTGGAAGGCCAGATACTGAAGCTGAAGCTCAAATACTTTGGCCACCCAATGAGAAAGAAGCACTCACTGGAGAAGATCCTGATGTTGGGAATGATTGAAGGTAACGGCAAAGGATGAGATTGTTAGACAGTGTTATCGATGCAACGAACATGAAATTAAGCAACTCCAGAGGGCGGTGGAGGACAGGTGGGCCTGGCGTTATGTGGTCCATGGACTGTGCAACTGAACAAGAACAGCTCTTTAGTTGTCTCAACATGAACCTGCCTCATAGAATTAGCTTGTTTAGTTTGTATTCACATATCTTAAGACATCATCATGGTACATGTTAATCTGCTGTTCAGCCCGTCTATAAATCTGAACCTTACCTTCCATTCCAGTCTATTTGAAAAAGTGTGCCTGCACACGAAAGCTTAGACCTAGAATAAAACTTTGCTGGTCTTAAAGGTGCCTGACTGGACTCTAAATTTGTTCTACTGCTTCAGACCAACAGGTCTGCCCACCTGGATCTATAGAATACCAAGATTGGTATTGCCCACTCCAGTGGTTGCCAGGGTGGCACCTGAGGGGCACAGTGGTCCCTGCCAATGCATTTCCTGGCGAGTGCCCCCTTCTTCCCCAGGAGCCAAACCTGACTTTCCTTCACCTAAGTGGAGTGGACCAAGAGGAGTTGCCCATGGGCAACCTCTTTGCATCTGCAGGTCACACTTGCTGGGGAAACCAGCATTGCATTTCCATTATAGGAGGCTCATCTGGCTTGGAATACTTTATGGTTGGCCGTACCTCCCCGTGGCAATCATTCCAAAAGTGCTCACTAGTTCAGTGAGGTAAAGATTTCCTGCCTACTCTGACTGGCAGTGGCAGATGGAGACCAGTGTTTCCTCTCAGCTGAGTTCGTGTGAGCTAGCTCACGGTTTTTTAGCTTCTGGCTCACACATTTTTGCCTTCGCTCAGGAAGGATGGGGCTCCAGAGCAAACCAATTTATGCAGGAGCCAAATCGCCTGCTCACAACTTCAATGCCAGTCGCTCACCAAGTAGAATTTTTGCTCACAAGACTCCACAGCTTAGAGGAAGCAATGATGGAGAACTTGCACTTTACCGACCACCTGCTCATCTTAACTGGAAATGCTGCTGCAACTCGTCTTAAATGGAGATGCTGCTGCTCTATTGCCAACAAAGCCGAGGCGAGCCCAGCCCAGCTGTTCAGAAGCAGCTGACTGAGCACAGCTGGAAAAGGTCTCCTGGGCTGTGACGACCTTCCTTGAAAAGTACTGAGTTTCACACATAGAGGACTTGGACCATGACATGCGTTTATTGTACTTCACAACAAGACAAGGAAAAACGGTCCTGCAAGGCCAACTATATACACTCCACCTGGTACACCTCTGTCCCCATTGGAGGGTTTGAATATCCCGCCAAGGGTGCTATTGATGGATTCGAGGTGGCCTAGGATCCTAGGTCCCCTTTGCATTTGGGGACCAAGCTCCTGCTTTAGCCACATACATCAACATTCTTTAAACTAAATCCACTGGGGGGGAGCGAGTCAAAAATGCAAAGCCCAGTGATGGTGCGTTGGGGGGAGGGGCACCTCTGCTCACAGGTACCGTAGCTACAGAAACGAAAACCTCGGGGG